GTTATGATATCGGAACCAATTACTATGGAGAAAATCGACTTCATACAAATAATGAAAACAGTTAAAGAAATATGTAAATTCTGTCGAAGTTAGTATCGTTTTATACATAATATATAATGCTGGTAAGATAGGCGGTTTTGAACATATGATCTTGGTTAATCCACCATCACGTTTGTAATGCACGTTATCCGCAGAATAGGTGCGTTTCTCAAAATTCCCGAAAGAATATTTTAAGAACACAAAGTTCAACATCAGAGATGTGGTTTTTAATATATTTCTAATGGAAAAATTTGAAAACTTCACAAGGTCGAAAAGTGTGTTGGCCTTCTTTATACATAGACTCCTAGGGATAGTTGAAACATGAGAAAAAACACTTTCCGGGCCCGAAAACTCTTGGGAGTTTTGAGAAAAGCAAGCAAGTATCATGTTGTTTGTACGTTTGTTGCGTTTAGTTTGCGTTTCTGTCGCGTTATACGCGGATTATCTCACGATATCTCACGCCACAAACCGCCTATGTAACAAGCTCCAATGTGATTTATCCTGATTTACAGATAAACAAATAAATATTTTTGTTTTAAAAACTCCTTCCGGGGAGGGTAATAAAACGCAATGATGAACATGATTTACATAAATAAATAAAGTCAATTTGTTTCCAGCCACTTTGTTAGAATGCAAAGCGCGTTAGGGTCCCTTCGTAGTGTTGTTAACATAACGGTAGCGAATATCGCACGCAATTGTTAATTGTCTCGTCACGCAACGCTCCTCAGGAGACGGCATTTTTTTGCGAAGGCGCGTTGCGTGACGAGATAAATAACCAACAGAAGGTATTTAAGAAAGTAAAACTTATTTAAGGCTTGGATAATTTGGGGTGAAAGGCTATAAGCCCCAAATATTGTCATGTTTTCATAAGATATAATATTATTTAAAAAGGACTTCTTTATTTTGAATGATAGGGATGTCCGTAATGTACATTTCGTTCAAATGTCTATGAAGATGTAAATAGCAAAAAAATATAGATATGTTGGAAAAGAAATCTGTTAATGTATTTTTAATGCATATTTGCAATAAAAGAAGAATTAAAAAAATGGTTTTGGTTCATTAGCAATTTCCATCGCCGTGTTGCACGGAATTCCTCAATCCGAAAAACTAGATCCCGTAAAAATTTAAACTACTGCCAAAACGTAGCAAAGAAAAGCAGACGCCTTTTTCGGCTCTCGTTTCACCCAGCCTGCGTAGCAGGCGCTTGGAAGTAGTGGGCACAAGAAAAAACGCGCGCGCGAGGACAAACACGTGTCTCCCTTGCGCGCGCCCGTTCTCTCTTTCGCCCACTACTTCCAAGCGCCTGCTACGCAGGCTACAAGAGGCGGAAAAGGCGTCTTCTCTCGCAGGCTAGCTAACAAAGGGATCCTCAAATGTTTGTTAATTTTCATACATTACGATCTTTTCTTTACATTTTTTTGTAAAATAAAGTATAGTCTGTGGGGATGGTAACTTTTACAGGAGAAATATTGCCATGGAGACTTGTTTTAAGATGTGTCCCACAGACACGAAAATTGCGTGGGGCGTGTGAAGGGGATTTATAACACGCGAGTAAATAAGTCACGTCCTCTCGCGTGCCTTTTCTACCTCTCCCTTCAAAACAGGCCTGACATGAAGGCCACCCGGAGCGCAACAAGGTATTTGACCCAGTTTAAATGGGAAAAAAAGTTATCCCTTGAAAGTGGGTCACCCTCCCAGCCGAGTCAACTTTAGTGAGCGCTCATAAGAGAAAAAAATTGTCCCCCTGCCTGGGTCAAAGGTAAAGAGCTGATAACGGCGCTCGCGCATGCTCTGATTAGGGACTTAAAGATCCACCGACGCAACGGCAACGAGAACGTCTAAAAAACAATAGGTTTAATTAAGCAAAACAACTTTGCACGTGCATCACGCTTTTTTGTACATTTCTTTCCCACTATTGCACGATTACGACGTGAAAATGCCTAATTTCGCGTTTTAAGGAGGACGTAAACAAACAACGACGAAATTTTATTTCTCTTTCTGAACTTGGATATGGTCCCTTGAAATTCAGCTTCAGGAGGGTTCGCCTACAAATGACAAAGTAAGTGGGTAGGAATAATCGCTATAAAGACTGAAGAACGCAAATTTACTTTTTAAACGACATTCTCGTTGCGGTCGCGTCGTTGGATCTTAAAGTCCCAAACTGTCTTGCCTTGACCGAGTTGAACCAGCGAGTCAAAGAGTTTATATGTAGAAAAAATGGCTTAGCTAGGAGGGCTACCCTATTATAGAAGGGTGACTTGCCTAGCAGGGTCACCCTTTTCTAGCTGAGCCATCGTTTTGTTTCTCATGTTAACTCTCCGGGACAACTTTTTTCCATCAAAACGGGGCTTAAAAGACTTCATAGCCGGCTCAGTAGCTCAGAGCATTAAAAAAGAAAAAAAAAGAAACCGATTTTTCATTTAGGTTCTTTCTAAGCCTTGGTCTAAGGAAGGCTAGAGTTCTGTTTGCCATTTTGGAAATATAGTGGACCTGCTTGTTCAAGAGATCTTAGCTAATGTGACACCACGACAGCTCGCTGAATCATTTGAGGTTAGGGTTTTTTCTTCGAAACATAGTCATGGTACACCCATAGTGTGCTATATTTACACACTTCCAAAGAGAACTCCATTTTCCATGTGTCCCATACAGATAGCCTAGGGGCGCTTGCCACTTAAGCAAAATTTCCGGTTGGCAATTCCAGAATCATTCCGGGGTCAAATGGAAAGGCTTTCCAGCCATTACAAGCTCACTGTATTGTTCGCGTCAACCAATAATCCAACAAAATGGATGTTGTAGCACTACCGGTACTTTGCGACAATTTCGACGAAGAAATTAAAACTTTGTGGTAATAGTAGCAGTTTGTTGCTGTTTCGTTTGAAGAAATTTGGACAGAGTTCAAAACTATTTTGAGTCTACAGATGCAGTTGCAATTTTGAACGATAAGATAAGAAATGAAAAGAAAAACTGCGACTGCCTGTGAACAACGTTCACCGGCAAACTTTGCAAATGGCGGGGAAAATTCTAGGTGCCTGCCGCCGGCCAACTTGGAATTGCGCAAATGGAACGGGAATTTCTGTTCCCACCGGTTGGAACGAAAAAAGTGGAATATCTCGGAGGGTCGTCCGTTTGTTCGAAATATTTCCGGTCGAACCGCGCGTCCCACCCGTAATTACTAAAATCGGTCGAACCGGACGTTTTGCCTAAAGGTCTTGCTGAAGGGCTTTGCAATCACTTTCAGAATGAATAGAAAGATATACGATTGTGTCATCGCCCAAATAACCTGACCAGGGATTGTGCTAAATCGTTAATGTCGAGGAGAAAAAGGCATGGCCCAAGTATCGAGACTTGTGGAACCCCAGAGAACTAACCAATCAGGACAACCCTTTGCGATCTTCCGTTCAGTTGAAAGAAAAAACCGTTCTTTTTTCTTTATTCAATACAAGGGTCACAAAGCAAACGGCCAGGAAACGGATGTTTTTATACACACGTGTTTCTGCCAAACTAAGTGCAAATCAATGGGAAAAGTTCAATGTCATGTTTCCTTACGTGAAACATACTGAGCCAATAAACCAAAATTTTGTAAGTTTCATTTTCAAGTATAACCAAAATATCAAGGGGAAATTTTTTGCCCGAACACCTGCAAAATGGTTCTCATAAGATTTCTTTGGGATATTTTTATTAGACAGTGAAAGGGGTCACTTATTAATTTTGAGAGGGCTGCTTAGTTCAAAAAGGTAGCAGCTGTTTCTCCTTGCTCCTAGCCACAAGGGACGTTTCGTGGGAGAGATGTCTGCACCTCAGTGACAGAAATGCCATACTGATGGCATATAATCTGTCCAGAATCTGGTTAGGAGCTCTGATTGGTCAATGTAGTAATATATTCCTTCTACTGTTGTTTACAAATGACACACAAAAGGTCAAAAAGGTCAAATGTAAATTATGCTATGAATCTAATGCAAACAGTCAATAATTGTCTATCCCGTGAAACAATCCACTTGGCCAGAATCCAGAAGAGACAGCTGTGTTCGCGGTCTGTATAAGTAACATTTCATGTTTCTCTCACTAATAGACAAGGGCCAAGGCAAGTTACCTTTCAACNAAAAAACCGTTCTTTTTTCTTTATTCAATACAAGGGTCACAAAGCAAACGGCCAGGAAACGGATGTTTTTATACACACGTGTTTCTGCCAAACTAAGTGCAAATCAATGGGAAAAGTTCAATGTCATGTTTCCTTACGTGAAACATACTGAGCCAATAAACCAAAATTTTGTAAGTTTCATTTTCAAGTATAACCAAAATATCAAGGGGAAATTTTTTGCACGAACACCTGCAAAATGGTTCTCATAAGATTTCTTTGGGATATTTTTATTAGACAGTGAAAGGGGTCACTTATTAATTTTGAGAGGGCTGCTTAGTTCAAAAAGGTAGCAGCTGTTTCTCCTTGCTCCTAGCCACAAGGGACGTTTCGTGGGAGAGATGTCTGCACCTCAGTGACAGAAATGCCATACTGATGGCATATAATCTGTCCAGAATCTGGTTAGGAGCTCTGATTGGTCAATGTAGTAATATATTCCTTCTACTGTTGTTTACAAATGACACACAAAAGGTCAAAAAGGTCAAATGTAAATTATGCTATGAATCTAATGCAAACAGTCAATAATTGTCTATCCCGTGAAACAATCCACTTGGCCAGAATCCAGAAGAGACAGCTGTGTTCGCGGTCTGTATAAGTAACATTTCATGTTTCTCTCACTAATAGACAAGGGCCAAGGCAAGTTACCTTTCAACTAAAAAACGAACTTAGACAGGAAAGAAACTGCCGTGGAAAAGCAAAATTTGAGAGCTGTAATATTCATGTTTGTTTCAAACTCTGGGCTAAGATGCTTATTTGTTAGGCAGTGATACTTATTCAAGAAACTATTATTGTAATTATTACAATAATATTTTCTTGAATAAGTATCACAAACTGGATAAAAATGACATACTATTATATTAGATAGGCCTAATCATCATCATCATCATCATCATCACTGTCACTGTCCTTCACATTTGCTTGCCGTAATGAACTTGTCATGACATCATGGATTTTGTTTTTCTTTCGAGGATCTTCTTCTAACTCTGTTTTCACTGCCCCTGCTTCTGACAACATCCACTCTAATTCTGCAATCACAAATTACACATTTTGAAAAAATAACATATATTACAGGAAAAAATAAGAGAATATTATTCTTTACGAATAGTCAGAAGTGTTCATGTAGTAATTGAAGAGGAGAACTAGGATTTCGACTGGTTGGAAGGTGTTTATAATATATGCAGTAACACATTTTTGTCTAATTTAGAGTAAAAAATTCCAAAACTCAGAGCAAAAATTAAGAAGCGAAACAAATATTTCATCTGAATAACTCAGACTTATCAGCATTGTGAGGTGACAGGTTGTATAACATAAAAGTTACGAATCATCAAGGGAGGATTGTAAATAAGTTGTAGGTCCAGGCCCTCATCCCTATTAAGGGAGATGTATGGAGATGAGTTTGGAGAATTTGTATGTTGATATTGGGGCTAAAAGAATTAAAAAATGTAGCCCTGCTAGTCAATGTACATGTACCTGAAGAAAAAGCACAAACTCAGAAGTCAGCATTGGTCAAGGGTGCAGATTGTTGGTTCTCTGAACTACAGTATACTCCATCTGAGGACAGTGACTGAACAATCTACCACCAAAATGCTCTCTTGGGGATTCATAACTTTTCTTTTACATAACCTGTCACCTCACAATGCTGATGAAGTCTGAGTGATTCGTCTTCATATGAAGTAAAGCGATAGATAATGGAGAGGGCGCGCTCTTGGATTTTCTCCATGTCATTGGTGCGATGCATGTGGCTGCATATTCAAGAACAGATCTGACAAGCAAACTGTAGACAATAACAAAAACATCCAGATGGACTCCACTTTCCTAAGATTTCTCAGGGCATAGAGTCTTCGCTGGGCTTTCTTGATAACATAATCGCAGCAAACAGCCCATGATAGATCTTTGGTAATGTGAACATCAACAACTTATATGAATCGCCGGACACAAAGTATGTGCCACCAGTGGCAATGGACTGCCACATGCAACTGTTATAGCGAAGAAAGTACTGTACAGTACCGCAAATGATCCCCAACCGCAAATGATCCTGAGACCGCAAATGATCCCCAAAATGGACCGCAAATGATCCTCGACCGCAAGTGATCCCTAAAGTCGACCGCAAATGATCCCGTGAAAACTTGAGGAATGGAATGGATTTTATGGGACTGATTACAAAAAAGGACTGATTATAAAAAAGAATCCTTTTTCTCTCGCCTTTTAAAGAAAAAGGGAAGGAGGACGCTACATCTCAGGTCAATTTATACAAGGTGAAAAAAAAATTGAATAAATCTGAAAAGTATGGTATTAACCGTATACTTCTTGCTTTGTCGATTGTTTCAATTTTTTTTTAAGAATGTTTCGTCTTTTGAAAAATTTAAGACAGGTAGGACGTTAGGCCGAAAAAACTCTATTATTTTAACGCCTAGAAGCTCAACTTTTCTACTGAGGAATACAAAGCCGGGCACCCTCTACATAACAAGAGCTTTATTGACATTCTGATCTTTTTGAAAGCGTGAAATTAATCAGCCAGAATATTTAATTTTGATTTTTACGTGATAAACAGCAAGACATTTGTTCGTAACTTAGGTGCCCGTTACGAAACAAGACATGATTTAACATAAACACAAGACAAAATGCCTCCGAAAGTCGATGTCCACAGGTTTCGGTTTATTTCGAAATAGCAACTTTCTTACAGCTCATGAACGTGTTGTGGATAGTTATATTGGCGCTTTTATGTATATTCATTTGTTGTGCCTTTGCTGAAGGCAGTTACCAGGAATCTAAACCTGGTAATGACAAACACAAAGCCAGGTGAGCGGTAGTTATCGCGTGACAAAACATCGTAGCAAACCGTCACATTCACGGACTAAAAGAAAATCGCTTATGATTATTCGGATCCAGGAGGCACTTTGGAGAAAATTAAACAACCTAAAACCCTTATTTAGCGGCAATGAAGAGCTGACTGCATTTCAAAAGAGGTCAAAGGAATGCTCTTGCATCAAAGGGCAAATCATAACGACCAGAAACAACAATAATCGCAGAAAATGCATGTCATGACCTCTCAGTATGAAATAAGCGGCAAAAATCACAATTGCTTTGAATGATTTTTTCCATTTAGTTTTTAGTCATATATTTATTTGAGAAGCAAAATTTAGCTTTTAATCTGACTTACTGTAATAATAATAAAATCGACACGATGGTCCGATAACTTGAGTCCAAGTCATTCCTATTTTTCTTTCGGGATCATTTGCGGTCGACTTTGGGGATCACTTGCGATCGAGGATCATTTGCGGTCCATTTTGGGGATCATTTGCGGTCTCGGGATCATTTGCGGTTGGGGATCATTTGCGGTACTGTACAGTAAGTCAACTGTCAATTGTTTCCAGAAACTTTGCTCCTCAGTCTTTCTCTTCACCCAGATAAATAGATGACATCCGAGCCAATAACATCACGGCTTAACTTAATTGACCAATTATCTGGTCAATAACCAAAGTCAAATACCATCACCAGAAAATTTGCAACTCACTTTGAATTCATCTGATGATAATGACAACACAGGTTGTTGAAACGTCAGTCATTTTAAAAACAGTCTTATTCAGGACTACATTCACCTAGACAATCCAAACATTCTATCTACCTATTGAATATGAAACACTGGAGGTAACCCAGGATGAACTAGTATTCCATTCAAGACAGAAAAAAAGAGCAACAAAATTTATTGTTAACTTAACTTACCATCAATCTTCAAATTCATTCCTCCAAACACCAGTGGTCCTACAAACTGCCTCTTCATATCATCCTCATAGTAGATAAATATAGTTGGTAGATGTTTATCTGGATAGTTTGGTATACATGTTGTAGATATGCTCTTTAAGAATTTTGTAGCTGGAAACTTCTGGGCAAGGCGGCTAAAATACTGATTTATTAACGCACACAATGGGATGCTGAATTGAAAATTAAGGAGGAACCAACACAAATGTTGCACAAAACAAAAAAGCAAATCACAAATCGTTGCTGTATTATCTTAACAGAGGTAATCTTTGTTGGGAAATTAAACACCAGAATGCGCTTTCTACCCGAGGCTTGGGATGTGGTAGATTTTGTTTCAGCAGCAATATTTATGAGGAAGGGTGGCGCAGTAGTGAGAGCACTCGCCTTCAACAAATCCACCAATGTGTCCCAGGTTTGAATCCTGGTGTTGAGGCCATTTGTGGGTTGAGTTTGTTGTTGGTTCTCTCTCTGGCTCCGAGAGGATTTTCTCTGGGTACTCCGGTGTTTCCCTTTCTTTAAAAACCAACACTTCCAAATTACAATTCAATCTGGAGTGCACAGACACATTTCAATGAGTTCTTAAGAACTCCTAAGTGCTCTGTGGATAAACAAATTATAGTATAATTTAAATGACAATTTAAAAGAATGTGATCTATGACTGAACAGATGGATGGCAAAATGGCATGTAGTTATTTTAAAAATAACTCAACAGGGAAGAAAAAATAGTATTGCAGCCTGCTTTGACATTTTCCATTAAATATCGAACCTGTACAGCTGGACAAAAAAAATCCCATCCAGGTCATCCGGGACGAGTAGTTTTTCCTGCCAGGCAAGTAACTTTAAAAGCTCACTTGCCCATGGGCAAGGGTGGGTCCAGGTAAGCCATCCTCTGACTAATCATTAGGGAGCTTAAGCAACAACAATGGCGACAGCAACAAAAATGGCAAAAAAGCAGTAGGTTTACATTAGCAAAACAGCAACATCACACTTTTTTGTACATTTCTTAGCCTTCATTGCACGACTACAATGTGAAAATGCCTAATTTCACATTTTGTCAAGGATGGCAACAAAAAGACGACAACTTTCTTTTAAATTTTTTTCCTGAACTTTGATACAGTCCTTTAGAATTCAACTACAAGAAAAAATTGCCAACATTTGACGAGTTAAACAAGATGGAATAAGTGTGACAAAGTTTGAGGCAGCACAAATTCACTTTTTAGTCTTTGTAAGTGACATTTTTGTGGCCTTCACCGTCATTCTTGCTTAAGCTCCCTGTACTGTTAGCTAAGACAATTAAGTAGTTGTGCTGGGCAGGCAAAATGTGACGGTTGCTTGCCCAAACAATGCGCTGGAATTTAATTTTTTTTCGAGCTCTGTTTAAGAGTCATAATTTGAAGAAAAAAAAAGCAATGAAACCATAAAACCATGAACAAAAAAGAACAAGCCTAGTGTTTAATTCTAGTGTTTAAAGGGCTTGAAGCTGACTGAAGAACAGTAATGCAGGAATTAAGCTACAAACCAGCACAAATTGGTCCAACTTTCAAGATCATTTAAATGTAAGTACAGTATGGATCATTTTGGGCCCAAAAAGGTGTCAGGTCTTTCAAGAAATGGGCTCCAAATATGCTCATCATACGTGCCAAAGGGCAAAAATAAGAAGCCAAATGTTCCCTCTAACCCTGAGAAAGACCAATTAAACATTTAATACTAATAACACACCTGATTGGCTTTTCCAGCGACAATATTTTAAAAAGATTTCTGGTGTTCACTTCTCTGAGTTCACTGTACAAGGGCTCATATTATTACAAAAGGATACCCAGTTTTGTAGAGATGTAGAACTACCCATACTCCTTTACCAGCTTTGTTGACTTCATCTACATAGTCCTGAGCAGAAATTTCCCTTACATCACCAAACTTTGATGCCTGCTGCAATTTTTGTATTTCTGCTATCCTTTGCTGTCTTGAAAAAAAGAGGATAAAGACATCTCACAAGACAATTTAGTGAGAGGGGTTTTTACAGTTTGTAATACTTTGACATTGCAGTACTTTTCACATGGTACATGTAGTTTGGTGTTTTTCAAGGTGGTGGACAAAACACTGACCCCCAGTCCATGGACTACCTCTATGGACTACCAATATTAACTTACCCTATAATAGACTACGCTGCTGGAATTTAGTGATCAGGGTTAGCAAACTGAGTCAACCAGGTTCCATTGAGGGCCACTATACTGGAAAAACTGACCTGAAACTTGATTCACTCAGTTTCCAAACCCTGATCACGAATTTTCAGTAGCGTGGTCCATTTTTGGGTAGTCCATTGGGACAGTCCACGGGGGTAGTCCATGGACTGGGGGGTCAGTGTTTTGTCCAAAATAAACAAAATATTAAAATAGTTGTATTCTCAAACATGTAGGATGTGGCATTTTGCTCTTTGGGGATAACACTTTTGAAAAAGGAGACTAGAGTGTTATAATTTTGCGAATTTCGTTTATTAATATTAGCAAGAGTACTTTCATTTAACAATGAATTTTATAGTCGGTAGATAAAAACCTTTAAATTTGAAAAGCTCTTGACAAGCTATTTTGCAAGTCAAATCTCAAAGGATTTGTTAACATTTCCTTATAAGGTAAAAATAGTTTCTATTCCTTGCTACCTAGATTAAAGTGAAAAACATTATGATGACTCCACGTTACACACTGATCTCCTACCTATATTGTAAAAGAACGCGTTCATCTTCTTCATCTTCAAGTTCCTCTAGCTCATCTAAAGTCATGTCTTCATAAGCTTTGACTACATTCATTCCAGTTCTCTTCTGTACGGTTTCTTCGACCAGGTTTATCAACTGATCTTCTGTAACTTCGCTTTCTTTTTGCGGCAAAATTCCATGCCGACGCAGCGCATCGTTCCATTCTGTATCCTCACTAGGATTCTGCATTGCTAAATCTATCGATCTTGAGAGGCAAAAGTAGAAGAAGTTCTCAGGAGTCTGTCAATTTCCCTCTGTATCTCTTCATCGATCCGACGGGTCTGGTCAGCGGTAGACTCTTTCAAGAAATCACCATTGGTGGACAATTCGTGTAAGCGTAAGTCAGCTACCCTTAGATCCTGAGCCATTTGATCTACATCAGTTTGCATTTTTGTTTTTCAACCATCTTAGGTCACAGAATCTCTCATCCTTAACTATTTCATTTGCAGCAAAATATGATAGCCATAACAGTTTCGGTTGTGTGGAATTTGGGGGTATGATCGGCTATTAACCTCGATCGGGAGGAAGAGCGGAGACTGGAGACGAGTTAATAGCCGAGTTATTTCAAACATTGCTCACTGGAAGTCGTGCCCTGAATATTTTGTTTTACTTTTCCCTTGAAATAATAATAAAAAAATATCACGATAAACTGAACATGGGCTTTTTAAGTGTTCCAAATTTGGTTCCTTACCTTTCACTGTCAATATCTCGACGTCAGAGTTCGAATCGTCAATCGTCATTGATCAGTTTTGCCGCATCAGGTTTCATTTCAGCTTTATTTACTATCCAAGGTGTCAATTTTTAACTTGACAGGGAGGGAATAAAGGAAAGAGAAGATGGCGAGAGGGGTGGGGGAAGGGCGATTATTTGTGAAAGGCGATTATTTTAAATATTTCCGCCAAAGGGGGCGATTATTCGAGGGAGGCAATTCATCGATGAAGGACGGCTATTATTCGAGGAAATACGGTATGTGACCGGTGTCGTTACCTGGTAAATGAATGAAAGAAAGAAGCTACAATCTTGAGCAGAATAATATGGAACAGTTTTTTTTTCGACTATTTCGTGTCACCCTCGTTTACTTAGTTAAAGTTTGATTGATTGATTGATTGATTAATTAATTGACTGATTGATTGAAACCCCCTTTTCCTATTTCCTCCTATTTCCTTTGTTGCACGCGGAAATAGGAGACGTCTGCATGCAGGCAACTTTTTTTGCGGTCTACTTGCCAACGAGAAATTCAGGAAATGAGAGGGGAGGGGCGCTTCTTCGAGAGGATAGCGCTTATTTCTTAGCAGAGCATTTGAAAGCAGTGAAGACGATTGAACAAAATGACGCTGGAAAGCTTGTTTTGAAGGGAGGGCGTTCATCATGGCGTGAACACTTTATGGCAATTTCTCCCGGAAATTCCTGGGGAATACTCAAAAACGTTTTATACAGGGAGGCTCCGCCCCGTGGTCCAAGCTCTTACCCTTTTATTCACCATTTTTGATAGAAAAGCTATTTTTCGTATACCTTCTATTGACAAATAGAATCACTTTCATATACCCAGCTTAGTACCTTGCATCCCTCTTAACTGCTGTAAACTGCATAAATGTACTCAACCTCGTCCCCAGGGCGCTATTTCCTGGATTTGGAGGTAGGGCGGGAAATCCGAGAAAAATCCAGAACGTTAACTTGACTTTTTCACAGCCATAAAATGCGCCTGTTAGCCCTTTTGAGACTTTTCACAAACCGAAATGACAGATTTTCCTACCCAGGCTTTTTACATACTACAACGAGTGAATTCCCTACTTTTTCATGATACCTGGATCATCATACCTTCCCCTCCCCGAAGCCAACATTTTGCCCTAAGAGAGAAGTAAGTGTTAATGTTGGCTTAAGGGAGGGGTAGGTGGGCAGTTTCCCAGAATTGAAAGGTGTAATAACAAAAAAGGTACCCCTTTCGGGCGGAACCTCCCTGTCTAGGCCATTATACGGAGTACCCTTCCGGGACGAAACTACGGTAACTCAAACGGTAGCTCCTCCATCCTGACGAGTATCCTTAATATTTTATAATTGACAAGAGAGAATAAAGCCCATCCTGCCTTGCAGTTGACTATTTGACCTGTCGTGACAGAGTATATTTAGTTTACTCGGCTAAGTGAAGTAATTCTCACCAACTTCCGGTTCTCTGACCCGTACGCGTGCCTCCTCTTTGGGACATGGTTACGTTATTTGAGACCCTAATTAAGAATATTTATCTTGGGTAGCCTGCACACAGATGCGCTCGTCCTTCTATTTCCTATATGGAGTGGACGCGACGAAGGAAGATGGAAGAACTACATTGTAGTTCGGAAGCTTGTAGATTACGAAATAAGAGTCCTTTTTATAAGTTTTTCTAGCACTGATTAACATGCCTTCCACTTTAAGGCAAAATATAGCTTTTAAAAAAATGTACTTCGTGTGTCTTTATCGATTCACAAACTCCAAAACATTCTGAAAGTCTACTAGTCTGACTTAAATCAGCAATACCTGCACAAATTCAAAAGGTAATTGTTTCCCTTCAAGAGAGTTTCACAAAAGTCTCCCAACAACATCAATAACGACAATGCTGCAAGCTGTGAGAAAACTTATCCTTCTTACATGATTATTTATTTTGGTCGTGCTTTAATTTTCTCTTCAATCAGACAAGGGATCAGACTAATCATTTCAACTTCCTGAATCCTCCGCTCCAAAGCAATTGACATTCAAAAGTATTAATGACCAACGCCCATGAACTTGCGTCCCATTTTACGTCAATAGGTGGTTTAACACTTTGACCAGCACTCAAGCGAAACGATTTAAAAAGAAGTATTAAAAACTTACGGGGGCGAATGAGTTCCGCTCAAAACTCACCAGAGAAATAAGCCATTTCCGAGTTCCAAAAACTCTCACTTTCAAAACGAAGCTAATTGCAAAACCTTTATTGTGAAAATGAGTTTTATTTGCATGAGAATAAAAAAAGTAATTTTCATATCAATGGCTTCGCACTTAGCCTCGCTTTGAAACAGAGGCTTGGGCCAATTCATAAATGGCCTACTAATTGAAAAGATTACGAAAAGGAGCAATAATAACAATAATACTGCAAAAACTTCAGCAAAAGCAGAGTGTAAAAGGCTTCAAAAGTCAAGATACCCTAACTACACTGGCATATATAAAGATAAATGTAGTCACGTCTAAACTGGTTATTTGAACTTCCTGCTGGATGCTTGAACAGAGATCGAGCTCAAAAGTATGGCTTAAAATGACTCCCGTACAACCAGAAACGTACAGCAACGACGAAATAGCGAAAATTAACATTATTATTTAAATACTATGATCCGAGGTTTCCAAATCCAGCTCTAGTTACTTATAAATAATTTGCAAGTTTTTAAATTACTATTTTACGCTTTCATTTTTTGTGTATGTCGTTTAAGCGCAATTCAAATTCTTTCGTGATTATCTCTCTTGAACCTTAACTTTAAATACCAGTAGATAACGGATTTTTTTTGTTTTCTTTGCCTACGTGAGGTTAATCAACTGATGTAATTCCTGTGTGCACTCAACCTACTCAAGGCTCTCAGACTAAACCCTCACCAGCGAGAAACTCCCATATCTCAACAAATAAGATTTCAGAAGAGGTTTAACACAGCCCGCAAAGGATCACGGGACAAATGTCTTTCGAGGTGCCCGGTCATTAACTAAGATATACTTTTTTAAGTGTAGTGATAGTGATTCTTTGATGGGGGTACCTAAAATCATAGGAAGTAAGCCTTTCTCAGAAAAACCTGAACTATACCAGTCGACAGAACTACTCAACTAGGTCAAACGGTCATTTTTTCTACCCAATTTAAGTTACCTTAACCCGTTCCTATATTTTAAAGCAAGCAATCTGCATCAAAATAAAACATGCTCTTACTTCTTCCTAGGAAGATGAAAACTCGATAAACACGAAAGAAACCTTCAGTTAGCAACTTTAAAACAAAGACACCAACCTCAAACGGAGACTTTGAGTTGGTTCCGTAAAGTTACTGTCCCCAGTTGTTTAAAAGGTGCATGGATAACGCTATTCACCGGATAAATCTCTATCCACACTGGGTAACGCATGATAATTTATTCGGTGGATAGCGCTATCTAACGTTTGTACAACTGAGGCCTGGTGGACATCTCTTTAGTTTTCTCTAAGACTGGCAGAATATAAAAACAAAGGAGACAGTTATTTAAATCAATGGAAAGACAACACTGCCGTGCTGCCAGGATCATACTTGGTTTTCCGTAGGATATACCAACAGCTGACGTCTTAGCCACCGTTAAGTGGGACAGCTTATGGTATGCTTCCACACGCTTTAACTGAACAATTGATAATTCACGGCAATAGATCTGTGTCAAGAACGAAGCACAGGTTAATAGCTCCGAGGTTTGCGTCAAATTACGTTGAAAACTCCATTGCCCAGAGGTGCTGTCCTCTGAAACACCATAGGTCGTTCAAAATGGTCCTATTTTAGATTGTACCGACATGAAATCTTTTCTGAAAAAAGTCGTTATAAGTGCTTCACTTTTAGCGATTTTAATTTCAACATTTTAGCCCGGCAAAAAATTAACAACAGATCTGAGAATTTTCTATATTTCTCATGATGTTTATTTTATGACTGAACAATTGTATTCCCTAGCTAGTATTAATAACTTTTAACATTTTATTTTATTTGTAATTTTTGCACACGAACCCCACAGCGCTTGTAGCTTTGAATTAATATCGTGTATAAAATTAGGTTGTATGTATGTATAGGTTGTATGTATGTTATTATTGAGAGGAAAGGAAACAGGTAGTTTGACCCCCCCCCCCCCCCCCCCCCTCTCCC